AAGAAAATCACACAGCTTTAAGATTAAGGAAACTTTAGATCTGACTCTGAAGCAAGCTATACACACAGCATGTAATCTGATGTTTCTTTTGGTTGGCATGGAAACGAGTTGATGTTAATAGGGATTGTTTAGTATTTGGTTTAGCAGTACTAGTGAGCACACTCCTGTTTCTAGCCTTGTTGCTAATTTCACATTGCATAGAATTTTCTTCTGCACATTGTCTTTTATTTTTCTGACATTCTGTGGGATTACAGCTGAGAACTTGTTTGAAACAGGTAATTGATAAAATAGATATGTACAGAGTGCATGTGAAAGTATGCTTTAATTCAAAAGGAAATTTAGATGAGTATTTTGAAACAAATTTCTTCTTCTGATCCCACAATGGACTGGCTTACACTCACAAGGACATAGAAGTTTCTGACCTGTACAAACAAAATGATAAATATGTTTATATGTGGCGACAATTTGTTCACAAGAAGAGAATTTCACCCCCCAACTTGGTCATGGTAATGAGGGGGCCATTTGTTTCTTGCCTCATAATTCAAATGGAATTGGGACAAATTCTCAGCTGTGGGCGATGGTAGATATTTGTTGTTTACTTCTCAGAGCTATTACCCCATGTGGCTATCATCACTCATGTCATGCATCGTCATGTGACCTTCCACCATGTCACTATCATTTCTCATGTCATGCATCTGTCATGCATCTGTCATGGTACCTATCTTCACTCATGTCATGCATCTGTCATGGTACCTATCTTCACTCATGTCATGCATGTATCTTTCATGTGACCTATCATCACTCATGTCCTGCATCTGTCATGTGTCTGTCGTGTGACCTCCCACGTCATTCTCCTCACTCATGTAATGCAACTGGTCATGTGACCTACCACCATGCATTTCATTGGATGGCAACGTTCGAGGCACTTGAAGACTGGGTTTGTTTTGGGCAACAAGTTCTTGTCAACCTTTGTGCATATGTATCTAAGTTGTTATGTCTGATTTGACTTTCAAAGTTTTCTTGAAAGTGTTGAACTTTATTCAGTGATGTCAAGTCTCGATTGTAAATACTGATGCTATTTCCAGGGACAGTGTGCTGAATGAGTTTTTATGGATACTTTGTTTTTCTCTTGTACATGGACCTGCAGAAGATTCTGGTTATGGTCATTGAGATAATCACTTCGATGTACATTACTCATTTCATTTGTACGTTTGACATGTTGGATATGTCTTGGTTTAAAGGTTGTTTCCATAACGAAAAGGTCAGAGACCAAAACAAAATACAAACTAAAAATGTCTTCTCTTCTTTTGATGACTATCCGAGTAATACCCGGTACACATAAAAAATGTTTTTTTAAATATTGATTGAAATAGGAACTTTTGGCTGCTTTGAATATTATTTGTGAATGTCTTTTACCATATTTCAAAATTGTGGGATCAGTAATCTCTAAACCAAGAAATAATCAAAGTCTCTCATTTTCATGACAATGTACTAGACACATTAAGTTCATTGCAAATCAGTTTTTGTATCTGCTCAAGCAGTGTGGCATGTCAACAAAAAAGGGGAATTATTACATGTTATTATTCTTCTCTCGATACCCATAACAAAATGGAACAAATATTTCTATGAAGAAGCTTCATTCAAGCAAATTTATTTTCAGGAAAAGAATAGTTCGTAGGACAGAAAGATATACTTACTTCACACAGGTTATATTATTGTATTATCATTCATAACATGGTTATTGAAACAGATTCTCTCCACCCTTTTCAACTCTTGTAAATTCCAACTTGTGTATGTTGAAGCTGTAGATGTTTCAGGCTAACAAAGCTGTGCATGATATACCTATATTTATATATATATACCAATATATATTACTAATCATTATTATTCATGAATTTATGTATTTATCATTTTCTCATATTCATATTTTCATGTTTACAATCTGTTGGTTGAAGTGTTGGATTTTCTGTTGGAGGTTGTTAACTTGGAACTTTAGGTATTGGATCACAGTGATTTTCTGAGTGAATGAGTTAAATTTAAAATATGACATCGAATCGGCATTATTTCAGCCATGTAGCGAATTTTCTGAATTCTTACACTGTATGGAACGGCTTCTGACTATTTCGTATTCATTGTTTCTGAACATGTGGCAATTATTGATTGTTGATCAAACCTTCCGGTCCTTCTTGGAGATAAGGGTTCTATTGACATCCTTTCCACATAATGAAACCACCTCCGTGGTCGATTGGATAGCAGAAGGTCCCGGGTTTGATCCCCGGCCGCGTTATACCAAAAGACGTGAAGAGATCTTGGATGTGACGTTATTCCCCATTTCACTCACCTTTCAAGATTTGAACTAGTTTCTTGACATCTTTTCTGATTAACAATACACCATTATTTCACACACTCATTGTCATTGCAAACACATTTCATACCATATTTCACCAGAATGAGTGAGGGCACGACATTGTGAGACACTGGCAGCAATACTCTTGCTATAAGTGATTGGTATAATTTGTGCTGATTCTGAACAAACGTGCAGTCAGAACACAGAGAAAACAAAGTTGACCAGCACCCTGCAGGCTGTGTCCCTCTGTAGTCTACACTGTACACCAGTTGTCACTTGCATACTACCTATGATTGTGGGTTCGAATCCCGGTTCGCCCCGATTATGTTTCTAGGTTTGTCAGCACCATACCCATGCTCGTGGGTTTCACCGAAGTGGTAAACATCTGAGACCTGCATCACTTCGGGCTTTCCTCCCACATTAAGCTGACACGCCGCGATATAACTGGAATACTGTTAAAAGCGGTGTTAAACCCAACTCACTCACTCACTCACTTGCATACTGTATTAACTGCTCTGCTCCAATAAGAGCTCCCTGATAATCTTCCACCAATCTGTAAGCTATCTTTAAGAGCGCTCCTGTATAAGACCGAAAAGTTACATGAAAGTCAATGTTTAATTACAAACAAAAAAATGCATAGAAGAAGGGGGGTATGATTTCCTAGGAACTATTATTTAAAAACTTATTTTCATTGTTGTTTGAACTAAGATTGTTTACAACCTCTCAATCTCAGAAAACAAATTCATCTCATTGTATATCGTTTCATTAAGCACCCCTTTGCCAATTTTTCTCGTTACGGTGAATGCGGTACTTTAACATAGCCCTATGTAGTAGTAATGCTGTGATCAGCAACATGGGGTCTGGTCAAAGCTGAACGGCCTTTTGTCTCACTAAGTTGATCTTCTGTAGCCATTGTCACCAACTAATCCCCATTTTGACAAGGGTCTCAAGTCTCGGTATCCTTAAAAAACTCTGTTTCACCATCATCAAGTAATCTGGATATATTTGAATCATGCATGAACTTTATGCCAGATGTAATCATCTTCATCACACAATATGCATCATCAACATCTTATAGACGTAGTAGCATCACGTAGTTGCAACCAATCTGCACAGGTCCGACTTGTCTGACTACTTCTTGACATGGTCGACACTGCGGCATGCAAGTCCCCTACTATGCTAGAAGATGTATCTTATATTATATCTATGTCAATCAAGGTTGCATTGTTTTGACTGATCGACATGAAACATGACAGGTTTCTCTCTGCTGAATAATTTACAAACTGTCATGTTGTCAGTCTGAAGGCCTCCCTATGAACATGGCCAACATCCTCCTCCGTGAAATGTTCCAAATTGTCAAACCTCACACCCATCCACAGATGGTTACATTGTCTGAATGTAATGCATTACAAATGCAGAGGACAGTGTCTGCACTAGTCTCAAATTAGATAAGTTTACGGATTCAAACGTTTGGTAAAATGTCAACCCAACAAAACAAATTATCATGCAAATTCAAACAATGCAACTTGAAATCTTCAGCTGGCTTGTTCCAAGGGAGACAATCCAAATAATCCAAGGGAGATAATGCAAATGTCCCAAGGGAGATAGTTTAAATGTTCCAAGGGAGATAACCCTTTCCTTTCCTTCCTTGCCCTATCCCGAAGATTCAGTCAGACAAACATACTCGCAACACCATCTCCGCACACAAAGTCATAATACAAGATATAAACTTACCCTTTTTCTCCTGGCTTGGTAAAAGTCAGTATACTTCTTGTATGGATGGCAGTGAGTATGTGGTAATGTGCTCTCAGTGGCTGTTTGTACATCAGGATTACAACATGGTCATAATGATGTTCTCATCCTAATATAAAGGTCATTTCCCATTCTCAAATAACACCATGCTTTGAGAATGCTGTTGAATGGAGCCCTGTGGCAACAGCGCTGTTTTGATGACATTAATCAGCAGTTTATACTAAGTGTTGACAGCTTTACCAAATGTTGGGCCTGCTACTTGAGCTCTAGTTCAAATAGTTTCTTGAAGATAATGTTGAACTTTCTTGTGATGCAAAATATCAAGGATGATACAGTAAATGGGAATTTTGAAGAGAAGGGAATTCCGCAATGTTTCATAGATTTATTTCGCCTTTCATTCTTTCACACAAAGACATCCTTGATATTTTTGTAGTGATTGTATTTTTTTAAATTGTTTTTTTTAGATGATTCTGAGTTTAGGATTGATAACTAAGAATCTAAACTGTATTGTTAAATGTTCATATGAGCTTTTTGTTCAAACATCTGATTATGATGTAAGAGCATGAATAATGTTTTAGAAGTAAACGCAGTACTAGGAGTAAATTAGATAGAACTTTCATAGCATGGTAATCTCAGCTAACCTGGTAAAATATTTTAAATATTATTTTCTTTCTGCATCAAGGCACCAGCTATTTGATCACACATAATAGAGATGCTTAGGTTGTATGTTAGTTTCATGGAGTAAGTTTCACAACAAATAAGATCTTCACATAATTGTCAACTCTTGAAGCTGGTGTCAGTCTTGATTCTCAATATGATAAATTAATGAGTCCGATGTCTGTTTTACTTCATGAGATCTCATTTTGGTGTTTAATCAGAATCTTGTGGTTTTTTTCTTCAGGGAGAAGAATTGCGAAGAGATAGAGATGCTGCAGAGGATATTTTCAACAGAGGTAACTATGACAACAAAATTTAGTCCATTGAAGATTCATTTTGGGGGGGTTCCGTTAAGGCTATAAAGGATGCCTGAAGATTTGGTGCATAGCAGTACTTTATGACAAAAATAGATATATTGTGAAGTCATGTTCCCTTAACATGATAAGTGTCAAGTTTCGTGTACATTGCTTAAATGTCAGGATGCATATTATATCACAATATGTGGTATTATTACTGGATAATAGGATATGCAAAACTATCTAGATTGTTAGTACTATGACACAAATGTTTTTTAAAAAATGACAAATTTTCAACACAAACATCAGAAGTTTGTTCACTTGACCAACTGTTGAACTAGAGACATTTGGGCAGAGTTGCATCCCTTAGTTGTGCCAGGATCAGCTGATCATAAACTTGAACTTAGGGTTTCTTTCGATTATGATCCCTGGTTTATCAGAACTATATTCATGTGTTTTTTGTTCACCTAAGTGGTAATGTCAAAGTCCTGCATAAATTTTGGCTTTTTTCTGTCCTGCCGAAGGGCTGTGATATAACTAAAAAACAGTTTAAGTCGCTTTTGCTCACTCACATAAATATGTCAAACATGATAATGCCATTTTTGCACTAAATTAGCTTCATCTTATATCTTATATTGCTGTCAGTTATTAAAATTACAGTGACAAAACCCATTCCATTATCAGAAGAAATCTCTGCTGAAAGGAGACTCCACTGAACGATTCCAACTGTATGTGTTTTGTGAATCGCTACATATAGTGATGACACCCGGGCCTACTTGCACAAAGCGACCTTAGCGCTAAGATGATCGCAACTCCCATACTTTAACATAGGCTTACAATAGTTGTAGCGCTTAAATGGCTTTGTGCAAGTGTTCACAAAAAAGGTGAGCGTATGCTGCCCAACCGTTGCACTCATCACAAACACATTCAATGGCAAGTCAATTGTTCACCCTGATTGTCACTAGTTTTCCATTTCTGCCAACTTTGTGTTCTACCTTCAGGTGAGTGTGGCTGAGTGTATGAAGGCGTTAGAACTGACCAAGTGGGACATGCAGAAAACCATCAAGTACATCAAGATGAAGCAGCTGCTGAGCCTGCAGTTAGCGGACATACATCGATGTAAAGCTGCGTTGATGATCTCATCCTGGGATGTCTCACATGCTGCAGACTACCTGCTGACTCACCCAATACCTAGTCCTGAGAGTCTCGACGTTTGACCTTCACCCTGTGGCGGAGTTAACAAGTTAATAAATGTTGCAATCTTGTGTTGGATTAAAGGGGTTAATTACGTGTGACTTGCAACAGATGATCATACCAACTGTTGCTATACGTGTCGTAAGTGATCTGATCGATGCGATGGCATTCCTTTCGGATGGAGAAATTTCAGGATGATCGTTCTACCATAGTGCTGCACAGATCATGCATCGTGAATATCACAGTTAATCCTTCTATTTCGAGTAGAATAAAGTATTCCTTCGAAGGATAAACACGAAGTGGATGTTGTCAAGGGCGTTGCATCCCCAGTGGTATTAGGGACGGAAGTATCAGGAATGGGGGACGTGCAGAACCATCTAATGACGCGAAAGATCACCAAGACTTAGTGATGAGGGGATGCTCACAGAAATACTTCAACTCCTTCAGTGCTGAATTTGAGATCAGATACACTATTATCAATCAGATTGTCAAATATGTGACTGGTTTGAGGCATTAACAAACTTGAATTTGTGAATGGTTTTGAATATTTCTGATTAACAGTTTTATCAAATTTGACATTACTGCAACAGCAGATGTTAGACTTTTCATGAACTGTTTATTAATATGTGGGAGAAAAAAACATAGTGCTTATAAATAGTTCTTGTGCACTTACATCAGAAAGTTCTGAATATGGAACTTCATCTTGCCCAGTCTGCAACATACAGAATTGTACAGGAAATGGATTACCATCAACACCTTTTATCAAAATGCTTGCTTCATATTTTCTGTGAAATCAGTATCACAGATGATGCCACAACGCACAAGGAAACTGCATTCAAAGTGCTTGTGTCTGTAAGAGATGGTATGGCATCATCACAATGGCACAGTTCCATCTTCGGCATCTCCTGCCCTACATCATCCCAAGTACCGATGTCTAAGACAATGTCAACTGTATTACATCTATATTTCATATCATGGTTAATGTTTGTATAAATACTAACAAGATTGGAATATATAGTCGGTTTCTAGAAAGCTTTGTCTTTCAGACTTTCTCAATGAACTTATACATCAAGGTAATCCCTGCTTGTATTACAAACACATTTTGACTTCAAAAAGCAAGAACTGAAAAGATTCCTAGATTAGGATGTAAGGTGTTCCTAAACCCTTTCTTATGACCTTTTTCAAAACAGCCTTTCAATTATTATGCAATATATTGAATTGAAAAAATTGAACACATGCATTGATTAGTTTTTTCTCAATTTTCAAACTCCTTGCACTCTTTCGAAAACGTGTTTAAGTTCCCCAATACCTATTTGTGCCAAACATATAAATGGCATTACACATTGAAAGTATGTTCTTTCACATCCTGACTACGGTAAATGTTTTGCTTGTTTTAAGAAAAGTACTGGATTTAAAGTAGATTGATGTTTACCACTCATACATTACTTCAGAGAAGAAAAAGCAAACAAAATATCCAAGGTATTAAGATACCATTCTGGCTTGTGTTGTAGATATGAAAGAAGTAAGGTTTCCTCTCTTGTAATCTCCAACATTTTTGTAAAATTTCTGTGCAGAACTGTATTTTATGTATATATAATTTGAATCGGTTTTCAAAACATGTATATTTCTCCCTATACCATAGACAATACCGAGCTGCATGTACAGTTATTTATAACGGTAAATATTCAGTGTAAACACGTTCGCTACGTATTTTGTAATATTGTTTATTAGAAATATAGCCTAGATTTTTAATACCAGGCATGAAATGTCTGTTTGTTTTGTTTGGTGCTAACAAATGGTGAACTGTCACCACTTTCCTTATCTCTGTATGCTCATTATTGTCTCTCGAAATTTCTTTGATTTGCTTAAATTTCAGTTTGATTATCTGTGTTGTTTGTCAGAAGTACTTATCGACATGTATTTTGGTTGTCTTAAGTAAAAGCGACAAAACCTTTTCCATATTCTTAAGAAATTTGAATTTAATTAATACATTTTGAATTTTCAAAAAAAATTAAAATTAGTTTTGAATTTTCAAAAATGGCTTTGAGAATGTCTTACTATTGGGTTGTCTTGTTTGTAATAATGCCCCTTTAAACAGCCTTTCATAATTGTTAGTATTGATTCTAATCTGTTCAAACATTTTGGCTTTTAGAAAGCAGCTTCCTAGGGTTTGGTTTTGTAGGTGTTTAGATCTCTCTAAAGCCAGCTCTTAGATCTCAATAAAAACTTATTCAATGTCCAGCATCTTCAACTCTTCTTCGTTATTATTCATAAATCAGTAGACAAAGCAACACTAAGCTCATTATTTCAAAACAACATTTTTACATTCTAAAAATTCCATTTTCACATTCAGGTGCCATCAGTGAGGTAGCCTAGTAGTTAAAGTGTTTGCTCAGCAGGCTGAAGACCTGGTTTGATTCCTCACGTGTACTTTCTTGGTTTCCTAGCTGTGATATGACTGGAATATTGCTAAACTCACTGTGAGCTCATAAAGCTAGTTAACCATTCTGATGATCTCTCTCCATCTCCATCTCTTGCCTGTTAAGTTAGTGTGCAATATCTGTAGGGCCTGATCATTTGTTATTGGGGGTCAGGGAATGAGAGATTGGTCTTAGGTCTGTATCATTTATTGCCGACCCCCCCCCCCCCACACACACACACACACACGCCAACACTTTTATGTAACAGTTCTTCATGGCCTCCCCCAAATACATGTAACATTGTTTCATGAGCCTACTCCCACCCCAATAATAAATGGCCCGTTCCTAAATAATGTTCAAAATTAATATGTAAATTATGTATTTGAATGAAAATAGAGCTGCATCATTTTTTCATGCCCCCTTCTTCCTCCTATTGTAGTATTGTAGTGATAACTGTGGCAATCTACCCTCTTTTGCTGTCATTATTTCATGACACCCCCAATCTCCTCTTTCTCTCGCCCCCCCCCTTGTAATAAATGACGAGTCCCTCAACTCTCACTAGTGATGAATGTGATAAGGAAAAGAATAAATATGAATATATATAAATATTTAAATATTTGGGGAAATCGTTCTATTTTCCTTCTGTGTGACCCAGGGATAGAAGTGATGGAAACCGTTTAAAGTGATCATTCTGAAAACTAAAACAACTTTCATATGTTAATAGCTGTTGTATCTAGTCAGTTTTTTATACTTTTTTCCCCTGTTGTTATGTTCGCTATGCGTATTTTTGTTCTTTAAAGTTTATGATATTTTGATCTCTTTCTCAATCTGTAGGACTTAAACAAACACAGATCAACAGATGTCGTGTATCAGCATAATATTAAAAGTGCCATTCCTAAAAACTAATTGACATTAAGGTCAATATGGAAGTGTTTTTGTTTTGCACAAGCTAATCACCCCTAAAATTGTCTTTGTCCTCCTAGTACATTTTAGGTACTCTTAAACTTGGATTTTTGTAATTCCTATTTCAAAATCTCACAAAGAATAACAAATACTTTAAAAACATTAGCTTAAACAAAGAAGACATTTTTTTGAGATGGTAAAGAAAATATACTAAATCTTCAATGAGAGCTAGAAGAAAGAAAAAAACTTAATGGGAAAGCTTTTTATCAAAGATTATAGTTAATGTTCTGCTGTAAGTGTGTTTGAACTGTGATGATAAGAATTAGGACTAAACTTTTGCTATAATCATTCATAGCAGTATATTCAATGTAAGTTGTTATAATCATTTGTCTCGTATCAATTATTGCTCTGATGATCTTCCAACTTTTTAATAACTGTTTATTTTGTAACAATCAGCTGTGGTATTCATGTAACTTTTGTTAATTGTTATTTACATTTTTACTCTAAGTCACACCATATCGGTATGTACTGCACTCGTTACTGTATCGTAGCCGACCCTGCATTCTGGTTCAGTGTGATGCTTCTTGAAGGGCTCAGATCTGAAGTGTCGTCTATATCATGTACATTATCTAGAAACTGACAGCTTCTTACGGATGCTCAAAACAGTTCTATGAGGACATAATTTTGCAATGTTACCATAAAATACTGCCTTGCTCGCATCAGAACATTCTTGTCTGGCTTTGAGAACATCATGTCATATTCTCAGAAGTATTAGTTAAGGTGTTGGTTATCAAATGAATATTACATTAATTATTATCATTAAAAATCACAACACTCATCAGTGTATTAGGAACTCAGCATCTGAAATATAATCAGTCACATACATGATAATAACTTTTATTTTCCTTCAGGGCATTCATACAGCATTCATGTTTGTTCAAAATGTTATTAGTTTAAATAGTGTCAATGGTTACATTTGTAATTTTTAAATTTTTTTTCAAGAGTGTAAGAACTTTTCCCTTATCTTAACTACTCATCTTCCAAATAAGACTCGAAATAGGACAGTGATATATAACTCTTTATGAGAGTTACGGTATTTGTATATTGATACTTCAAATAAACATTTCATATTGATTTCATATCTGAAATTAGAAAATCTTTTTGTAATATTCAGCCATATTGATTAAGATGGGCTATGTTATTGATGACCAAATGCTGGTTGTAACTTTTTGAATGTTACAGACTAGTTTCAATTAAAGTGTTTGAATTCGTGAGGTCAGTTTCTCATAATTTGTGTGATTTAATAGTGATCTGAGCCACACCCTGCTCAAATCTGCAATCAAGAAACTCATGAACACTGTTGTATGAATGGTTTCCACAATGTCGCTGCTTTGTAAATACTTCCGCCAACTAGGTTCAGATCCTGCTGATAATAAAACACATTTACTACTGACTGGACTTTGTGTTGGTTTGCTGAAGTCACTTGTGTTGTATTCCAGTTTAAATAGTGTTGTATTCCAGTTTAAATAGTGTTTCAGGTACTGTCAGGGCATGTCAGCTTAATGAGTGAGAAAATCCCACAGGAACATGGGTAGTCGATGTTACTACTTGGGTGAAGGTCACAGGAACACAGGTAGTCGATGTTACCACTTGGGTGAAGGTCACATGAACACAGGTAGTCGATGTTACCACTTGGGTGAAGGTCACATGAACACAGGTAGTCGATGTGACCACTTGGGTGAAGGTCACATGAACACAGGTAGTCGATGTGACCACTTGGGTGAAGGTCACATGAACACAGGTAGTCGATGTGACCACTTGGGTGAAGGTCACCGGAACACAGGTAGTCGATGTTACCACTTGGGTGAAGGTCACATGAACACAGGTAGTCGATGTGACCACTTGGGTGAAGGTCACATGAACACAGGTAGTCGATGTTACCACTTGGGTGAAGGTCACGTGAACACATGTAGTCGATGTTACCACTTAGGTGAAGGTCACGTGAACACAGGTAGTCGATGTTACCACTTAGGTGAAGGTCACATGAACACAGGTTGTCGATGTTACCACTTGGGTGAAGGTCACATGAACACAGGTAGTCGATGTTACCACTTGGTCGAAGGTCACATGAACACAGGAAGTCGATGTTACCACTTGGTCGAAGGTCACATGAACACAGGTAGTCGATGTTACCACTTAGGTGAAGGTCACATGAACACAGGTAGTCGATGTTACCACTTGGTCGAAGGTCACATGAACACAGGTAGTCGATGTTACCACTTGGTCGAAGGTCACATGAACACAGGTAGTCGATGTTACCACTTGGGTGAAGGTCACATGAACACAGGTAGTCGATGTTACCACTTGGTCGAAGGTCACATGAACACAGGTAGTCGATGTTACCACTTGGGTGAAGGTCACATGAACACAGGTTGTCGATGTTACCACTTGGGTGAAGGTCACATGAACACAGGTAGTCGATGTTACCACTTGGGTGAAGGTCACATGAATACAGGTAGTCGATGTTACCACTTGGGTGAAGGTCACATGAACACAGGAAGTCGATGTTACCACTTGGTCGAAGGTCACATGAACACAGGTAGTCGATGTTACCACTTGGGTGAAGGTCACGTGAACACAGGTAGTCGATGTTACCACTTGGGTGAAGGTCACATGAACACAGGTTGTCGTTGTTACCACTTAGGGGAAGCCTACAGGTCAGGTAGTCGGTGTTATCAAAGCAAGGATCTAATTGACGAATCTGGGATATTTATCTAATGATCAGCATATCCTGGCTTTACTAAGGGACGCAACTATGCACAACATTTGGGCAACTGACGCCCCTATTTTGTTTGGAAGAAGTAACACTTGTGATGCATTTGTTTTAGTTCAGAACAAGCTCCAGGACAAAAACCACCGCTTGTTCCATGCAGCTCTCGGCAATATTCTAGCTATATGATACTGCCTCCGAGGCATACTGACAGACCGCCGTCATATAGCTGGACTATTGTTGAGTGTGGCGTAAAACAACAAACAAACACTCAAATGCCTTTAAATATAAGGGCAGAAAGGCGTGTTCTCACTCATTCACTCTGGGAAGTCCAACAGGGAGTCTATATAAGGAAGAGATAAGAACAGACAATATGAATTCTAATATTTTATTAAAATATCACAGTCATAGTATCGAGATGTAACAATATATTATTTATACTATCACAGATTTTCTAAACGCACAATATTTGTTGAGGAGTGATATTGCTAATAACATTTGATTTGTCGAAAAATACTCGTATGCTGCAATTCTACAGTCTTGAAACATCACACAATGAAGTCGGAAAAAGCATTGGCAAGAAAATAAGTGCTCAAAACAAAACGGAATTGCACATGCTGTGTTCTGTAAGGCGAGATACCTGACATTGGGTCATATTTAATATATACGAATCATGCATTTATTATACGAGTGAGAGGCGTCACATAATTACAAACTTTGATGCCGAAAATATTGAGTAATACATTTAACAGAACATGAATAAACAAAAACAATATTTCTTCCCTGTTTCTTATTTTCCTCTTATCTTTCATATTTAATGTAAAAGGTCAATGCCAGAGAATAACCAGTCTCGATTATAACAGAAACAGATTCCATTACGCATAAAAAGATAAATAACTGTTCCAGAAAAGGGCAGGGATGTCCTGCTCTACCGGCAGCACCCGCCCCTCACATAATTTGCCCAAAAAAGTACTGTCATGCGACGTCGGCGAGAAACGCTTTTGTCCACTTTGGGGCTTCGTTTAAAGAGTATTGTCTTTAATAAGACAAGATTTGAGATCAGTAATATCAAGCGTGGCTACAAATAATTAAATAAATGAATAGATAAATAAAAACATAGTCCACGTAAATATGTGAAGAAATTTGAGTAAATACCCACAAGATGGAGCTGACGATACACACACATTTATACACATATATGCAGGATGAGGCACAGAAAACATTACTGATCCAAATGATTAGTTTTCAATCAGATATAAAGTTGGTTCCTTTGTATACATATGAAGCGAGTGGTCGATAAATTTCAAACCTAGTGTTAACTGAAAATAATTGCAATTTATGTTTATCGCACATTTTTTTTCAAAGAGGCATTATTACCTTCACGACTGATAGCTGCTTACCACTTCAGTGAAACCCATGAGCGCGGATGGGTGCTGACAAACCTAGTAACATAATCGGGGCGAACCGGGACTCGAGCCCAAGAAAATAGGTTCCTGGCGTGCCCAAGGGACGCAACTCTGCACAGCGAATTGGGGCGACTTAAGGACAGAACTAATAAACTCATATACAACTGCTGACATATTAACAACCTATGATTCAGTACTGAGCATGCGTGAGATTAAACGTGCTATCGTACAGGAATATACATATTACATACATTATCACTGAAACACAAACATATATACAAACACTTTGATAACAGTATATTACACTTCTAAGAAAACATTAATTTCCCACAATGCGATGACTTCTATACAGCAGTAGACAAGGTAGGCACGAGGAATGAAGTATTCTCTGTAAGGCATGTTTCACGCATGTATGAACGAGCTCATACAAATTACATTAGCTAAATAGAATGTGTTCCTGAAAATATCAGTTTCGTCGGGAAATCGGAACAGAATAACCGCCGACGAAGAGCGGGAATCAAGGAGTCTTTGTCAGGAGCATATTGGATAGAAGGGACATAAAATCTCCACTTCTGACTTGCTGTACATGTGAGAGATCTGTCCTGCGACAAAGCCGACTGCACATACCGTAAATTCTTGAATAGTCGCCTGCCTTGAATACACACTTGCGAAATGAATAAGCGCCTGCTTTGAATAGAGGGGTCAAAGTCTTCACCTCTTCCTTAAGGTACCCAATGAAGTAATAGTAATAGTGAAACGAAAGCTGTTCTCATACAAACTGCAAAACTGACACGTTTTACAAAAAAATACAAATCCGGTCTTCTTGGAAATTAAAAGGTTTTACCACAATTGACAAAACAGACGCCAGTCTTTAATAGGCGCCGGGTGTAAGACGTCTCTGAAATAAATAGATGCCCGGGCGACTATTCAATGATTTACGGTTGGTTGAGAAAAAGAGTCCTGCTTAAATTTGAAAGACTTATACACGTGCATTACGACAAAGCGAAAGTCCCCACTGCAGCAAGGCACATCACTATATACAAAATCTAAGGCACCAGTTGGCATTGACTGACTCATTTGTATGCAAAAGAATAATACAGTGCTGAAAAAAATGTTAAACTCCTTAACATTTGGTGTACGAACGAGATTAAAAATTCCGATCACAGAATAACATTGTGCATCCTCAGGGCGGATTTTGTTACGCTAATTCTAATAATAAAATTCTTGGTTTCAATTGTCAGATCTGTTTTCCTTTGGGATCTTTGGTATTCTAAAAACTCAAGACGGTATGACTTCGTTTTGACTTCGAGGTGGGATTAACTATGGCGATATGATGGAACAGTTGTGTCAATTGTGGCTATTCGAAAGAGTGTTCCTGTTTACTGTCAAATTGGACGATAGCTCCGTGTTACGAACTCCCTATACAAGTTGACACGATGAAAGGGATGCTATAAGTCTACCCGATGAACAGACACACTGAAGCTGTGAGATTTAACACTGTATTGATATCTTTTGTGTGGTGATCTGTAGAAGCGAAATAACACTCATAGATGGAAACAATTAAAGCAAACAATTAACAGCATTGCGATTTTCACAATCATCATAGTCGCGGGATTTACCTAGGCCCTGCTGCACAAAACATATTTAGCGCAGAGCCAAACCAACACTAAAAATTGCCTGAGGTTAGTTGTAGGGCCGAGATCATTTTATGGCACGGGTCCTGTAGGTTGTTTAAGCAAAATGGTACAAGTGGAACTCTTTTACATTGTTGTTCGCAACAGAGCCGAGAGCATCCCCTGTCAGGGAATTTATGTTTTGAAACATTTGTAGGACAGGTCCCGACACACCACGACACTAAGTATCCCGCACAGTCATGGGTGATGGCGCCTGACGTGGAGCTCGTCATGGCATGTCAAGAATGTCGTAGAAATGTGGGCTAACATCGATGATTGGGGTTGAGATCTCTGGACGAGGTTTCAAGGTGGTCGATTATTAAGGCAACCGCAGTTTAAATAAACTGAACATATATTAGAAATTTGGTCGCAAATTCCCTATTTGCAAATGACCTCGAAAATATTTTCTGTATCATTTTATCAATATAGTGACGATCTATATCCTTTT